GCGAACAGACACGGTGGGCGCCACGGGGAGTGCCACCACGGGTGGGGCGGTGGCAGGCTGGTCGGCCGCGGGGTTAGCGCAGTCGGCTCCGCAGGGCCCTTGCTTCTGCAGGAAGCAGGCCGCCCGATCCCGCACGGCATCGGCGGTGCGCTCGCGGACGACGCGATCTAGGACCAGCCGCCAGCGCAGCCAGGTGCGTCGAGTCAGCCGCTGGCTGCAGTACTGGTCTGCGGAGCGCTTTCTGCAGGCCCGGCTCACTGCTAGGCACCAGAGCTGCAAGGCACGCCGAGTCTGCCGCAGGCTGCAGTGCTGGTCTGCGCAGCGCTCGCTGCAAGCCTGGCTCACTGCTTGGCGCCAGAGCTGCCAAGCACGGCGCGCTTGGCGGCTCGCGCAGTGCAGATCCGCTACCCGCTCCGCCCAGGCGGTGCTCACGAAGAGGCACCAGAGCAGCCAGGCACGCTTTGTCGATCGCACCGCGCAATGGCACGTGGCCAGCCGAAGCTGGCGCTGCAAGAGGACCGCGCCGCGCCAGCCGCACGCGCTCTGGCGAAGCAGCCGCCCCGCCACGCCCGCGGCCAGCGCCGCTGCGGCCTTGGCGAGCGTCGCGCGCGCACGGAGCTGCTCCACAGCAGCTCGCAACAGGACGGCGGCCTGCACCCGCAGCAGTGGCTCGAGCGCCAACGCCAGCCGCCGCGCCGCGGCGTCAGAACGGAGGGCGCCCGCATCCGCACTCGCCGCAGCCACGTCAACCAACCTGGGCGGAGGCCCCAAAGAGCTGCGCCGCTGCCCACCAGGGTTTCGAGGGCCAGCCTCCAGAGAGCTGCCCCGCGGCCCCGCCACTGCCACCCGCCGGCCGGCAGCCCCGAGGCACCGGGCGCGCGCGGGGGTTGCGGATCCCCGCCGCCCCGCGCTGGCGGAAGCCGGCGCAGGTCGCTGCGGGGCCCAGCGGGGCTCGTCGGGCGCCGGCAGCACTGCGGGAGAGCCCAAGCCTCGCACGTGCCCGTGCCGCGCCGCTGGCGTGGCGCTGCTGCTTTGCGGGCGAGCAACGGGCGCCGAGGCCGGCCGAGGTGGGCCGCTGCCGCCGCGCTGTTCGCGACGGGCTGCCGCGTCGGCTCGCCGGCGCTGCTCGAGCAGCCCCAGCACCGTCTCCAGGTCCTCTTCCGCGCCTGCTGTGCCCATGAGGCACGTGCGCAGGTGGCCCTCAACTGCCGCTGCCGCTCCTCTCGAAGCTGGCGCTGGAACTGGCGCTGGCAATTCGGACACGTTGGCAAGGCCTCTGGAGCAGCCACCTTGCCGTGCCGGGCTCCTGTCGCGGCTGGGCGGCCGCACTCGCCTCGAGGGCTGTCGTCGACAGCCGCCGTGGAGCGGAGCCTCGTAGTCTGCGGGCCACCGCGCCCAACCCCGAACGCCCTTCTCTATGCCTGCGGCGTCCTCTTGGTGCTGCAGCCACGCGCTCAGGAACTGCTGCGCCTGCGCTTTCACGTCGTCGTCCACCCGAGGATCTCCGAAGGCTCGCGGTGCGGCGTCGGCCTGCCGAAGCATCGCGCGGCGGCAAAGTCGCGGAGATCTGCTCCTGAGCAAAAAATGCCTGCGGAGGGAGGGAAGGCGGGAGCGGAGGAGACGGCAGGGGGACGACCACGAGAGCGCTGGCCAGTGCGCGTCCAAGACTGGATTGGGGCCCCCGGCGCAACTTGCCAGGACACTTCCGCAGCTGGTTGGACGGGCTGCAGCGCCCCAGAGCACTTGCCAGTAAGCTCCACAGGCTGGCTGGAGGACCCGAAGCTGCATGCCCAGGCTGGTTAGAGCGCTCGAGATTGCCATAATAGTTCCCCATGGGGCAATGCATCGCAGGGCGGCCTTCATCGCTCTCGGATCCCATGCAGCCGAGCAAGAGAGCGATGGAGGACATCTTCGAGCCAGTGTGCACTCAGGACGACGGTCAAGCAAAGAGTGATCCTGAGTCAAAAGCTGACCCAACATTTTGCGAGTAACCCCCGTGGGAATGCAGGGCGCTCGGGAAACGGGCCTGTTTCGCGGAAGCTGCACGGGTGACGCCTAGCCTAGCAAACCAGAGGAACCAAAGCCCATCTTGAGCCACGATTGGCCTGGAAAAGATAACTGCATTTGGAGAATTGGCGCCCCGTGCCCATCCATCTTATGCTCCTCGTCACCACCATAATCCTCCTCCTCAACATCATCATCATCATCATCATCATCATCATCATCATCATCATCATCATCATCATCAGCATCATCATCACCATCACCATCATCCTCATCCTCATCCTCATCATCATCATCATCATCATCACCATCATGATCATGATCATGATCATCATCATCATCATCATCATCATCATCATCATCATCATCACCCTCATCCTCCTCCTCCTCCTCCTCCTCCTCATCATCATCATCATCATCATCATCATTATCGCCAGCATCATTATCAGCATGATCATCATCACCATCAGCCTCATCAACATCATCATAAGCATCCTCATCAGCACCATGACAATGAAGATGATGATGAACATCATCACCATCATCGTCATCATCACAATCGCCAGCAGCATCATGATTACCAGCACCACCACCACCACCATCATCATCATCATCATCGTATTCAGCATCGTCACCATCACCAGCAGCCTGATCATCGTCAGCGCAAGCATCATCAGCACCATCATTCTCATCAGCAGAAGTATCGACATCACAATCATCGTCACCATCAACAGCATCATTGCCATCCTCGTCATCATCATCACCATCACCATCATACGCGTCATCATCATTATCACCACCATCATCATCATCATCATCATCATCATCATCATCATCATCATCATCATCCGCATCACCACAAGAGGAATGCCCAGCATACTCATCATGATCGTCATCCGCATCGTCATCAGCATGACCAAAATCCGCAGCATCCTCATCAACATCATCATCACCACCATCCGCATCATCATAATCATCATCATCATCCGCAGCCGGATGATGACCATGATCCTAATGAGCATCACCAACATCAACACCATCAGCATCACAAGTATCATCAGGATCGTCATCATCGTCATCGGCATTCACCATTATGGTGGCGTCATGTTGCAGCCCCTCCCAGGATGTGAACGCACCCAGAGGCGAGAAGTGTTACAATGAATAGCTGGCTGTCTCAACTTCTTATGTGCATGCTCTCAGCTTGCAGCCGCCAAGGCTCTTGGCCTTGGCGGGGGGAGGATGGGGGGCCGCGAGAAACTTGAAAGGTTTCGGAGCACAAACGGTTGCGGAGCGAACGAGGGGCACGCACGAGGCACGCGCACCGCGCGCGGGAGCCCCCGGACCAGGCCTTCGAGGCCCCAAAAATCCGGGCCACAGAGCCCACCCGGTTCGGGGGCCGGGGGGGCACGAGCGCCAAGGGCCCTACAAAAACACCAGCAGACACCTACTCGTTCCTAGAGGCTCCTAGGCTTCATCAGCATCAACATCAACATCGTCGTCGTCATCATCATTCTCATCATCATCATTAGTATTACCATCATCATCAGCATCATCATCATCATCATCATCATCATCATCATCATCACCACCACCACCACCACCATCATCATCATCATCATCATCATCATCATCATGATCATCATGATCTTCATCATCAGCATCATCATCACCACCATCATCATCAGCATCGTCAGCATCATCATCGCCATCGTCATCGTCATCGCCATCATCATCATCATCATCATCATCATCATCATCATCAGCATCATCATCATCATCATCATCATCATCATCATCAGTATCATCGTCATCATCACCATCATCACCAAAGTCATCATCATAATCTGAAGCATCCTCTTCATCATCATCATCATCAGCAGCAGCAGCAGCATCAGCATCATGATAATTCCTTCGGGGCTCTTCCTCATCCTCCACCCCCTCCTCCTCCTCCTCCTCCTCCTCCTCCTCCTCCTATTCCTCCTCCTCCTCATCCTCGTCCATCTCCTCCTCGTCATTCTCCTCGTCCTCCTCCTCCTCCTTCTCCTCCCCTGGCTACTCCTCCTTCTCCTATCTTTCAGCCTCCGCTTTCTACTAGCCCCCTATGATCATGTAAAGACACGTAGCCCTCCCACATCGTCAAGAGAACCCCCAAACTCCCTCCCTCATCACCCTGTTTGTCATTCTCGTACTTAGTCTCCTTCTCTTACTCCTTCTCCTCCCCCTCCGTCTCCTCCCCTTACCACGCATCCCTCGTCCTCCCCCCTGCCCCGCCCCTCCCTCCTCTGACGACGGCGACGATAACGACGAGGAATGAAATGATGACGCCGATGCCGACGACGCTGCCGACGCCGGCGGCGAGCGGCGGGCGGTGGTGTAGCGGAGGGCCCTTCGACAGCCTCCCGAGGGTCCAGCGCGAGGGCCTCCAACAGTGGTGCTGAGTCTCTGGGCCCCGACTCTCTCAACCCCTTCCCATGGGACCAGGCTGCCCTCCCGAGCCACGCGTCTGGCGGCCCAAGGGCGCCCGAGAACCTAGGCCACCTCACTTCACGCATCGCGCCCCGCGAGGCGCGACGCGGAATTATCTTCTCGCGCCGCCCCCCTTGGACGAGAGCAGCCGCTCTGGCCGGGACCGCGACGCGCGAAACGCGATTCTCTGCGCGCACCCGTGGGTGATCCAAGAGAACGGGCGGGTGGTACTGAGGGGGGGCTATGATGCGAGGTGGAGAAAATGGGCCGTAAAAAAGGGGAGCACTTCAGGGCCCTTTTTGGAGCTAGCAGGGGCGCAAAGGGGGCCCTAAAGAGCACCTGTAAAGCCTTGTTCTCCACCCCCCATCAAGGTCCCCCCCCCGTTACCACCCGCCCGGGGAGAACGGGGGTCCAGAAGCGAGTCGTGCCGGACAACCGTCGAATCATCGGAAGTCTGGGGCGGGCGCGCCCCCGCAATTCCAGGTCCAGCAGTACCAGGAGGGGTGGGGGCGGCGGCGACGGAGGGCCGCCTGGGCCCGCGCAGTGCATCGACAGCTTGCGCGGCGAGGCGGCGGCGGAGCCAGAGCCGCCAGGACTGTCGCCGGGCGCCGGAGAGCGGGAGCAGGACCTCGGGGATCGCGAGCGGCGAATCGAACATATCGGTATCCGCGCTTTCGCGGTGTGGACTCCACGGCGCGATCCAACGGAGATACGGTCGCGCGAACACACTCCGCGCGGGGCGCCCGCGAGCAAAAGTCCCCGCATCCGCGGGGTCGCGGCCCAGCGGCCCGGCCCGCGAGGCCGCGGATGCGGATGTGTTCGTCGCCCATGATCGGGGTCGCAGTCTAGTGGGGGGGGGCGGGAGGAGGATCAGGAGGAGGACGGGGCCCATGCCCGTTCGCGCCGAAAATACATCACGACGGGCTTTGTTATAGTTCTCGCTGCCTTCTGCTTCGGAGGGCTTTGGAAAAGACCTGGGACCGTCGAAAAACGACTCTGGATGGAAAGCCCGTCCTGGGGAATGGGTCGGCATTTCTGGGGCTCGACAACAACGACGACCGCGACGGCCACGACGACGGCGACCGCGACGACGACGACGACGACGACGACGACGCGAAAACCAAAAAAAACGCCGTCGGGGATCGGGGGGGGAGGCGGGCAAGAGGACGAAGGAGGAAGGAAGGGATCGGATCGACCCGGCCGGCGGGCACGTCCAAAACCAGGGCGCCCTTCCAACGGGGGCGACCCGGCGGGAGGGAAGCGCTCTCAAAAACAGCTTCGGCGGACTTTCAGCCGCCCTGCAAGGCAGGAGGGGGGGGCAGCAGGGAGGGATGGTGGGAGGGAGGGGGGGGGGCAAGGACGGGGGCGGCGGCGAGCGCGGCAATCAGGAGGGAGCGCTGGCGCTAGTGGTGGAAGGATGGCACTTTTGGGAGCGGCTCGAAGGACAAGGAGGGCATGGGGATCCGCTCGGGGCCTCGGGCGCATCTAAGCCAATGAGGCTAGCACAGAGGAGAAGAAAGAGGATCGCGACGAGGGGAGCTCGGAGGCAAAGGGAGACAGCGGTCCATACTCTGGCGTGCTAGACTCCCCCAGGCCCCTGAGCACCGCGGATCCCTGTCAACAATACAGAGTACACTTGGCGGCGGCGGCGGCTGCGGCGGCTGCGGCGGCGGCAGCGGCTGCGGCGGCTGCGGCGGTGGCGGCTGCGGCGGCGGCGGCGGCGGGGGCGGCAGCGGCGGTGGCGGCGGCGGTGGCGGCGGCGGCGGCAGCGGTGGCGGCAGCGGCTGCGGCGGCAGCGGCGGCGATTCGGCAGCGGGGGCGGCGGCGGCGGCGGCGGCGGCGGCGGATGCGCCCTCAGTAGCTGCCCATAAGACGACTGCTGAATATGCTGCGGCTCGGGCCAGGCTCCGGCTCTACGTATGTGTGGGGAGGGCGGGTGGGAGTGAGCGACACGGCTTGCGGGCGGGGAGGGAATCTTGACCCCTCCCCCTACCCCCTTCCCGTGGATAAAAGAACCACCTCTTTTGATCGATAACCTACCAACATGGCCCCAAGAGGCACCCCAGGGCTCCCAAGAGGCTCCCAATAGGGCCCAAAGAGCGCCCCAAGAAGCCCCAAGAGGCCTCCAAGAGGCACTCGAGAGGCCTCCAAGAGGCCTTCGAGCGGCCTCAGAGAGCCCAAGATGACCTCCAAGATGGCTCCCAAGATGCTCCAACCGGCCCCAAGTCCGTTACAAAAGCGCTCAAGAGCACTCCAAAAGAGCCCAAAGAAGCGGTCGCCGGCTCCTGAGGGGGCAGCTGAATCGCGGACCCCCACATCCTGTAATCGATGGCCTCCAAGATGATCCCAAGAAGCCTTCCAGGGTTACCGAAAGGGTTCCAAGAGGGCCCCCAAAGCTCCCAAAAAGCACCGGCTGCAACAGAAGCAGCCGCAAGAATACCTTTACGTCGTCCTTATCCGAATCCTCGTCCACCTCATTCTCGTCCTCCTCCTCCTCATCCTCCTCCTCCTCAACCTTTTCCACTCGCCCCCACGCGGCCCCCAGGGATGGCCCGAAGAGGCCTTGCAAGGCCACCCCCTTGCTCCCAGAGATCTCTCGGTCCACCCTGGTTGCTCGTTTTGTGTCCCTGGATGTGTCTCTTCGTCCCTTTTCCCGTCAGCTCCCATGGGCAGGGCTTCTGAATGGGCTGGTGGGGATACGTTTTTGGTCGCAACCGCAAAGGAGGGCAAGATAGAGCCGTCCCGTCCTGGTGGCAGGGCGGCAGGAGGAGGAGAAGGATTCCTCCTCCTCCTCCTTCTCCTCCTCCTCCTCCTCCTCCTCCTCCACCTCCTCCTCCTCCTCTCCCCCTTCCCCCCTGCCCCTCCAAGAGGGAGAGGAGGGTGAGGAGATGAGGCAATTCGGGAGGGAGGGGGGAGGAGAAGGCAGGCGGGAAGGCAGCAGGGTGCAGGAGGCGAGGGGAGGCAGAGGAGCCAAAACGCGGGAGGAGCGGCAGGAGGACAGGGAGGGGGAGCAGCAACATCAGGCGGGAAAGCGGAGAGATGGGTCCAGGATCAGCGGCGCTGGTAACACCCGAGAATTACCGGAACGATCTGGAGACCTCCGGAAACCTCCGACGACCCGCGCCGAGGGCCCGGCATGCGCGACTCCGCGCGCGAGGCGCAGCGGGAGGCCCTCTGCGAGCCGCAAAAGCTCGCCGCACGAGAGGCCCTGTGGCTGACGCGGCACGAGGAGGCCATGCTGTCCCGGTGAGACGCCATCCTGACACGCGGAGGGGGCAGTGGCGACAACGACGACGACGACGACGACGACGACGACGACGACGACGACGACGACGACGAAGCCACCTAGACACGCGGAGGGGGCACTGACGACGACGACGACGACGACGACGACGACGGCGGCGACGACGACGACGACGACGACGACGACGACGACGACGACGACGACGGTGCAGACGGCGCAGAGGGGGGAGGGAAGGGGTTTCTCGGTACATTCAGTGTCGTACGTGATCCACCCAGGCTCTTAACGGCACGCCCCCAGATTATGTTACATTGCAACACTTACTTATGACTGGGTCAGTGCCCACGGGTGTGTTGTTGCATAGTGTATAACTCACCCATTCAGCACCCGCAGTACCGTAGCGGAGGGGAGGGGAGGGGAGGAGGCTCGACGAGCGAGGTTCGAAGGCCGAGGCGCCTGGCAGCCGGCTGCGGAGGGGGAGCGGGGGCGGAGGGGAGTGGAGCGGAGGCGGGTGGGGAGCGAAAGGCTGGGCGGCTGGAGTGGCCCATTAGGCGGGGTTCGCATCCTCAGGCGCGGATGCTTTTAGTGGGCCTGACCGGGCAAGCAGGAAGGGAGCGGAGCAGGGGGGAGCGAAAGAGGGCGAATGCAGGAGGCGAGGAGGGGGAAGGCAAGGGGGCGAAGAGGAGGCGAGGGGCGAAGAGGAAAGCGAAGAGGAGCCGAAGAGGAGGCGAAGAGGAGGCGAAGAGGAGGCGAACGGGGAGGCGAGGGGCGAGGAGGCGAGGCGAGGAGGCGGGGAAGCGAAAGAGGAGGAGGAAGGGTTCTGCGGACACACAAACGAATAGGCGCAGATCCCAGGACCCTCTATATGTGCAATAGGTGGTCGTCTTGCCCTCCACATCCAATATGTTTCCACGTGTTCCTGGGAATCGACGTTTATTTGTGCTGGTGTTTTTCTTCCTTAGAGGGGAAGGCAGGAGCTGAAGAGGAGCCGAGTGGCGCGATTGCGGGCCAGCATGGCATGCTGCAGGCGCTCCTGCCATAGGTCTACGACGCGGACTCGAGAGAGAGTATCGGAGGGAACCTGAGAAGCCTCACGCCATCCTTCTCATTGACTGTTCCAGCTCTAGCCGCGGAGCCCTCGCCATCAATATCCTCCTCCTGATCCTCCTTATTATTCTTCTCCGCTTCCTCGTCCTTAAGGTCATCGTCACGTCATTGATATCATCATCATTAGCAGCAGCAGCAGCATCAGCATTCACATAATGATCACGCGCATCTCTATCCAGACCACAACCATACACATAAGCATAATCAGCAGCATCAGCATCATCAGCAGCAGCATCAGCATCGTCAACAGCAGCATCAATAACGTCATCATCATCAGCATCAGCATCATCATTCTAATCATCATCATCATCATCAGCATCACCATCATCAGCATCAGCATCATCATCCTTAGCAGCATGATCAGAATCGGCATCGTCACCTGCACCATCATCAACATCATCATCATCATCATCAGCAGCATTATCATCATCCATATCATCGTTCTTATCATCACAAACAGCAGCAACACCAGTATGAATGCCAACTGCATTCTCGCAATCAGCAGATACATCGTCATTACCATCAGCATCATCAGTATTAGCACCACCGTCGCCGCCATCACCATCATCGTCATCATCAGCAGCTGCAGAATCATCATCATTATCACCATCATCATCGCCATCGCCATCGTCAGCGTCAACATCATCCCCAGCAGCAGCATCATCATCAGCAGCAGCAGGATCAACAGCAGCATCACCACCATCACCACCATTATCATCAGCATCGTCGTCGTCGTTGCCGTAATCGCCATCATCGCCAGCATGATCAGCATCATCACCACCATCACCGACACCGGCATCATCATCAGCGTGAGCATCATCGCCATCGGCAACATCGTCACCGTCAGGACATCATCATCATGATCATCATAGTCAGCATCCTCATCAGCGTCGTCAGCCTAACTATCACCATCCTCGAAATCATCGCCACAATCGATGTCATCACCAACATCAGCATCAATACCATCATCACAGCATCACCGTGATCATCATCAGCAACATCAGCATCGCCATCGCCATCCTCACCAGCATCACCATCACCATTACCATCACCATCACCATCACCATCACCCGCATCATCATCAGCATCAGTATCATCGTCATCAGTACCATCATCCTCAGCATCACCACCATCACCAGCATCATCATCATCATCATCGTCATCATCGTCATCACCATCGCCATGATGGCCATCATAACCAACGTAATGATCGACATCACCAACACCATCACCATGGCCGTCCTCCGCGTGCTCCTCCTCGCGTCTCCCCATGGTCCAGCTCCTCCTCCCCCGCATCCTCCGCCTCCTCCGCCTCCTCCTCCGCCTCCTCCTCCTCCTCCTCCTCCTCCTCCTCCTCCTCCCCCACTCCTATCCTTCGTGGCAGTTACCATCCGTCTCCTCCTCCTCGTTCCTCCTCCTCCTCCTCCTCCTCCTCCTCCTCGCTCCTCCTCCTCAACTTCCTCCTCCTCCGCCTCCCCCTCCTCCTCATCTGCCTCGGCCTCCTTCTCCTCGTCCTCGTCATCTTCCTCATGGCCCTCCTGATCGTTCGCCCCCTCTTCCTTGTCGCAATGGTAACCAGCTCAATCCTCAGAATCCGCCTCTTCCTCCTCCTGCTTCCGCCTCTCGTCCCTCCCACCCCTCCCCCATCCCTCCTGACGAATCCCTCCTCCCACATCTCTTCTCCATCAACCCTCATTCCGCATGGTCCTTCTCCTCATGTTCCTCCTCCTCCTTTTCACTGCCTCTCCTCTTCGTCTTCGTCGATCCCCTCCTCCTCCTCATTATTATTCTCCTGTTACTCCTCCTGGTCGCATGCTCTCCCCCTACTCTCACGATTCACCCGCCTCCCCCTATTGCCCCTCGCCATCCTCGGCGAGAGTGCACGGATCAGCGCAAGGAAATAGATCAGAGGGTCAGGAGATCAGGTTGGAATGCGTTCACCCAGCTTGCAGTTGAACTGTTGCCCCCATTCCACCGCCATCCTCAACCCACGTTCCAGCTCAGGCCTTCCCCCGTGCCCGCATCCCGCATCATCCCCCTCGTCGCCGCCCCCCGCATTCATCTGTCCCGTTCCCCCGCGGCGCCCGTCAACGGGGCCCCTCCGACCCCCATATCCGACCCATATCCGACCATCCCAGCGTCCGCCCCACCCCCCCACCCCACCAAGCTCTCGCCCTCCCGGCTGGCAGCCCATCCCACCCTCGCCGTTGCCTTGTCTCCCTTTCTTTTCCTCACCCCCCTTCACCACGTCTTCGCCCGCCCTGCTTCACCGCACATGTGTACGTCTCATCGTCCCCCCCCTGGCTCCTCCTCCGCCTCCTGCTCCTCCTTCTCCTCCTCCGTCTCCTCGTCATCCTCCTGCTCCTCCTCATCCCCCACCACCTCCTCCTCCTCATCCTCCTCCTTCTCCCCCTTCTCCCCCATCTCCTGCTCCTCCCCTATCCGCCTCCTCCTCATCCGCACCCTCTTCCTCCTTCGCCTCTTCCTCCTCCTCCTGCTCCAATCACCACCATCATCATCATCATCATCATCATCATCATCATCATCATCATCATCATCATCAGCAGCATCATCAGCATCATCAGCATCGTCATCATCATCATCATCATCATCATCATCATCATCGTCATCATCATCATCAGCATCATCATCAGCAGCATCATCATCAAGCATCAGCAGCATCATCAGCAGCAGCATCATCAGTATCGTCATCATCATAATCATCATCAGCAGCATCGCCATCATCATCAGCAGCATCATCAGTAGAAGCGGCGAAACAGTCATCATCATCATCCTCATCATCACCAGCAGCATCAGCATCATAGGCACATCAGCATTATCATCACCAGCATCACCATCGTCACCATCAACATCATCACCAACCGCATAATCATCATAAGCAACAGTCGCATCATCATCACCAACACACGCATCATCAGCAGCATCCTCAGCATTGGCATCATCAGCATCACCATCCTCATCAGCATCATCATATTCGACATGCTCGGCATTGCCATCATCATCAGCATCATCAGCATCATCAGTATCATCAGCATCATCATCATCATCATCATCCTCATCACCATCATCATCGTCACAATCAGCATCATAAGCATCAGCGGCGTCACCATCATCATCATCATCATCATCATCAGCAGCAGCATCATCATCATCATCATCATCATCATCATCTGCATCATCATCATAATCAACGTCATCACGGCCCTTATCAGCATGGACATCACCGTCATGATTAGCATCATCGTCCCCGACAGCATACTCGCAATCAGCATCACCGTAAGCATCAGCATCAGCATCATCATCATAACCAACATCACCACCATCAGCATCATCGCCATCATCATTAGCATCAGCTTGGTGATGACCGTCATCATCATAATCAGAGCAGCATCAGCATCACCATCACAGTCGCCATCATCATCCTCGTCATCACCATCACCATCATCAGCAGCATCAGCATCAGCATCAACCTCATCATACTCAGCATCGTCATCATCATCACCATCAGCATCATCATTATCATCATCATCCCTCCCCCTCTGCCTCCCTTGCCACTTCTCCTCCACTTCCTCCTCCTCCTTCTCCGCCTCCTTCTCCTCCTCCTAACCCTCCCCCTCCTCCTCCTCCAACTCCTCCTCCTCCCCCTCCACCTCCTCCTCACTCTCCTCCCCCCCTCCCCCCCCCCTCCTCTCCCCTCCTCCTCCTCCTCCTCCTCCTCCTCCTCCTTGACAAGCCCCCTACCCCACCTGCCCCTCCCAAGGTTTTAGGAGCTGTCTCTGAAACATCGGAGACGGTAGAAGACAACTTAAGAGCTCTGGGAGCGTATGGGGAAGCCTCAGGACCTGATTCCCCCTCCTCCCCCTTCGGAGCGGAACTTACGCCCAAGCTGCTCCTGATCTCGACGGGTGCATCGCCATGCCGTGCCCGCAGCAGGCCTTCTCAGCTGCTATCGCGAGAAAAGCGGCTCCATGCTTGGATGTTCTGAGGGGCTCCCTGAAGTTGTCAGCTGTACGCGCATGTGTTTGCATCGTGGTTTAGCTTCTCAGTGCTGGGTGTTATTACGCAGGCTGTGAAACTGTTGAGGTCTGAAGGGCTGAGTGTCCTCCGCCTCCCTGGTCTTCCTCCCCATGCTTCTTCAGTGTACGAACTCCTCCCCCTGGACGTATTGTGTCGTTGGGTCGGGCTGGACGGTTCGCCTGAGACATCTTCACCATTTGCGATAGTGATACTGGAAATTGAAATCTTCGCAAGGTGTGAACATGGAGGCGTGTCGTTTCCAACATGGGGCTATCGCCTTAGCACCGCGCACAATCGTCTTAAACAAATCCAGCAGTCACATGCTTGAATGGCGGGCCGTTGTGAAAACCCGACGACCGCCTTTGCACCGCATACTTTCATATGGAACAAATCTTACAGCTACACTGATGGAGGGCGGGCCGTTGTTCCCCGACCATCCTGTGGCGTCGGACCCTCAAGTTGAAGAGACAGCGGCCCGCGACCCATCTCCTCCTCCTCCTCCCGCAGACCCATCGTCCTCCTCCTTCTCCTTCTCCTTCTCCTTCTCCTCCTCCTCCTCCTCCTTATCCTCCTCCTCCTACTCATCCTCATCCTCTCCCCCTCTCTCTCTCCTCCTCACCCTTTCGTCCTCATCGTCTCCATCACGATCCAAAGCACCCGCGCCTGATTCGGCACACCCCTCACACGCTTCGTGGCCCCATCAGGAGATCCACCGAAGGCGTCAGTGGCAGCGCCCGCATGGCACCGCCGCTCCCGACTTGGCACACACCTCACAAGTTTAGTAGCCGATAAGGAATTCCAGCGAATCCCCAGTGGCAGCCCCCGCATGTGTCGGCATACCCCTTACACGTTTCGTGGCCCCAGAAGGAGCTCCACCGAAGGCCCCAGAGGCAGCGCCCTCATGGCACCGCCGCGCCTATTAAGGCACGCCCCTCCTACGTTTCGTGGCCCCAGAGAGAGCTCCAACTAAGGCTTCAGTGGCAGCGCCCGCATGGCACCGCCGCTCTCACCCCGGCACACCCCTCACACGCTTCGCGGCCCCATAGAGGGCTCCAGCAGCGCCCGCATGGCACCGCCGCACCCGTTTTGGCACACCCCTCACATGGTTCATGGCCCCAAAGGAAGCCCCACTGAGGACCCCTATGGCAGCGCCCGCATGGCACCGCCGCGCCCGATCCGGCACACCCCTCACACGCTTCGTGGCCCCATAAGGTAAGGAGCTCCACCGAAGGCCCCAGAGGCAGCGCCCGCATGGCACCGCCGCGCCCGATCCGGCACACCCCTCACACGCTTCGTGGCCCCATAAGGTAAGGAGCTCCACCGAAGGCCCCAGAGGCAGCTCCCGCATGGCACCGCCGCGCCCATTTCGGCAAACCCCTCCCACGTTGCGTGACCCCACATGGAGCTCCACCGAAGACCATGCTCACATCCGCGGCACTCACAACTGCGTATGGCTAGGTCCTTCTCCCAGATACGGATAATTCAAAATGGGACCCTGGCATTCGAGCCGCGCGAGCTCGTCTTCAAAACAAAACAATTACACGGATGGCGAATCGTTCTCAAGACGGATGTCTGGCTCTCCTGCCGCGCACGCTCGTCGCAAAAACTCAATCAGATACTCGGTGCAGGGCGGCTACTTTTCAAAATGGGGCTCTCGCTAACAACTGCCTCAACAAAGCGAACACATGCGTAAACATGTGCATTGTTTACACGGATGGAAATCGTTCCTTTTCAAAACGGGACTCTCGCTCAAGACGTCGTTGGACTTTCTGACTGAAGCCTACTGTGTAACAGTTGTACGGGTGGAGGGCGGCTCTTTTTTCAAAGCGGGGCTATCATTGGGGGCCTCATTCGAACCCTTCCAACCATATATACATATATATATATATATACATATACTAGAACCACGCGCGCGCTTCGCGCGCGCTTAGGTTCTGTCGAGTCACAGACCCAGGAATCGTTGTGAGAAGAAATTGGTGACGCGAAGCGTCGTGGGGGCGTCCTTGGACGTCTGGGGTCTCCTGGGGCCTCTTGAGGGGCCTCCTGGGGGCCTCCTGGCGGCCTCTTGGGGCGGAAGGCTCGAGCTTGCGGTTCGTGGTCCCCCTCTGGGCCCCCTCTTGGGCCCGTCTTGGGGCCCTCTTGGGCCATCTTGGGCGCCTCTTGGGCCGTCTTGGGGCCCTCTTGGGCTGTCCTGGGGCCCTCTTGGAAGCTTCTTGGGCCGTCTTGGGGCGGTCTTGGGCGCCTCTTGGGCCGTCCTGTAACGTCGGAAAGCCCAAAAGACAACTTTGTTGAAAATGTACGTTTTACGAAGGGAATGGGCCAATTTTTGCGTCTAGGGGCCCTCTTGGGACGCATGTTGGAGGCTTCTTGGGGCCTCTTGGGGGCGTCCTTGGACGTCTGGGGTCTCCTGGGGCCTCTTGAGGGGCCTCCTGGGGGCCTCCTGGCGGCCTCTTGGGGCGGAAGGCTCGAGCTTGCGGTTCGTGGTCCCCCTCTGGGCCCCCTCTTGGGCCCGTCTTGGGGCCCTCTTGGGCCATCTTGGGCGCCTCTTGGGCCGTCTTGGGGCCCTCTTGGGCTGTCCTGGGGCCCTCTTGGAAGCTTCTTGGGCCGTCTTGGGGCGGTCTTGGGCGCCTCTTGGGCCGTCCTGTAACGTCGGAAAGCCCAAAAGACAACTTTGTTGAAAATGTACGTTTTACGAAGGGAATGGGCCAATTTTTGCGTCTAGGGGCCCTCTTGGGACGCATGTTGGAGGCTTCTTGGGGCCTCTTGGGGGCGTCCTTGGACGTCTGGGGTCTCCTGGGGCCTCTTGAGGGGCCTCCTGGGGGCCTCCTGGCGGCCTCTTGGGGCGGAAGGCTCGAGCTTGCGGTTCGTGGTCCCCCTCTGGGCCCCCTCTTGGGCCCGTCTTGGGGCCCTCTTGGGCCATCTTGGGCGCCTCTTGGGCCGTCTTGGGGCCCTCTTGGGCTGTCCTGGGGCCCTCTTGGAAGCTTCTTGGGCCGTCTTGGGGCGGTCTTGGGCGCCTCTTGGGCCGTCCTGTAACGTCGGAAAGCCCAAAAGACAACTTTGTGAAAAATGTACGTTTTACGAAGGGAATGGGCCAATTTTTGCGTCTAGGGGCCCTCTTGGGACGCATGTTGGAGGCTTCTTGGGGCCTTTTGGGGGCGTCCTTGGACGTTTGGAGGCCATCTTCAGCATCTCGGAGCCCTCTTGGAGGCCTCTTGGAAGTTTCTTGGGCCGTCTTGGGCGCTCCTGGGGCCGTCTGGTCTGACCGGGGAGGCCTCCGTCAAGCCCCGACGAGCCTCCGGGCCCCCCGGAGCCCACATTTGCGGTCGGGGTCCCGGCCCCGGGCCCCCGGTCCCCGCCGTTATATATATATATATATATATATATATATATATATATATATATATATATCCGCCGATCCGGCGTGTGAGTTTAAGAAAGCTACAACCTGAGCTTCAGCTCTGCTGGGGGGGGGCGGGGGGGGCTCTGCCGGGGTAGGGCGGGGAGGGGGGGGGAGGTTCATCGGGTCCACCCTTTCTTTCCCCCCCCCCCCCGGGGAATCCCAAACCGCCCCAAGACGGGCCAAAAGGGGCCCAGGAGGCCACCAAGACGGTCGAGGAGGCGCCCGAAGCGGCTCAAGAGCGCTCCTGGACGCCCAAGATGGCCTGAAGACGGCCCAAGAGGCCTCCAAGACGCCTCAAGGAGATCCCAAGAGGACCCCCAAGAGGGCCCCAAGAGGGTACAATGATAAAGTTGCCAATAGGTTTTGAAGCATTTTAACATTATCGCCTTTTCCGCCTTAGAAGCGCCGAAGACGGTCCAAGAGGCCCCCAATATCGCCCCAAGACAGCCCAAGAGGCCCCCAAGAGGAGCCAAGACGGTCCAAGAGGGCCCCAATATAGCCCTGGAGGCCCCCCAAGACGACCCCGAGAGGCCCCCAAGATGGCCTCAAGAGGGTGAACCCGAACGGACCCTTCTAGTCCTCCACCCCAAGATGACCCCAAGAGCCCCCAAGATGCCCCCGAGGCGCCCCCAAGGGGCCCCCAGAGGCCCCCAAGAGGTCCCCAAGAGGCCCCCAAGAGGACCCCGAGAGGCCCCCAAGAGGCCCCAAAGGCCCCCAAGAAGCCCCAAGAACCAAGAGGCCCCAAGAGGCGCTCACTCGCGTGCTGCCAGGCCAGAGGTGCACGGCCTGACTTGGTATTGCTCGGAAGCGAATGCGATGAACGAAGAACCTTCCACCCGTCGCCGTCACCAGTCGTCGGTCGTCGGCCGTCGGCAGCCGTTCGCCGTCAGTCGTCGTCGTCGTCGTCGTCGTCGTCGTCGTCGTCGTCGTCGTCGTCGTCGTCGTCGTCGTCGTCGTCGTCGGTTCGTCGTCATTAACTCCTTCGTCGGTCGTCGTCGTCGTATTTATCCCGCTCGTCGACCGTTGGTCGTCCGTTGTCGTCGTCATCGTCCATTTCAACAACAATAGCATCAGGTGCGCTCCGGATCGGCGGCACTGGCCGGAGACCACTACAATATATACATATATATATATATACATATATATATATATATGTATAACCCGACCTTGTCGACCTACGTACACCTCGAAGGTTCGAGGGCGGCTTCCTTCAAAACGAAGCTCCCGCCTCAAGCGCGGGCACATGGGGCGCTCATCCTTCAGGGCGACCGCCTCTCGCATTGAACAAAAACGAATGAAGGAACTAATGGGGAGGGGACTTGGGACGGGAGGGCGTATCGCGATATCGTTGATGCTTCTCGGACTTACCTTGGTCCTCCTGCTGGCCATCCTCCTCCTTCCCCTCCTCCCCCTCCCCCTCCTCCACGTCCTTCTCCATGGCCGCCCGGGCCGGTCGCCCTGTGGGGTCCTCGAGAGAGACAGGGCCAGCGTGGAGATGCCAGCCTGCGTGGGGCGGGTGCAGGTGATCAACGCAAACAACAAGCCTTACGCGAGATGGTACAGCGATCTTGCACCGCTGCTTCCGCAGGCTGCCAGCGCGGCACGCTGCATTGGAAACGAGGGTGCTTGCGCGCGATCTTACGTGGGCAGCTTGGGCGCCAATCTCGGTGAAGACGACACCGTTGTTCTGCCTCAGGCGGCCTCGCTCAGGTGGAGGAGAAGGAGGTCAGGAGGCAACTCCTGGGAGGTCTCCGCGGGAGCGATTAGAGACTGTTCAGCCCGATTAAGGGCCAGTAGCCCAGGTAAAACCAGACTGAGCCGAGGGCCAAGCCATACGAAGGAGGATTGAGCGGGACTGCGCGGGACTAGGCCGGGTAATGACGAGATTTCGGTCAAGGATGTACCAGGACGATGGTGTACCAGGGCTGATGCTGGATTCATCCTTCAAGGAGTCGCAACATGAATTAGTACGTAGGAGGGGGGGAGGAGGGAGTAGTAGCAGGAGTTAGGCAGGTTCGCGTCGCGAAAACGGCGGCGCTGGTGTCTGACACCGCGTGGATCGAACTTACCCTGGACGACCTCCGCATTGCGGTATCTCAATTCGTTCGGCAACGGCCGATTCTTGGCCACTGGGAGCGCTCAACCTTTCACGCCCGCGCTGAAGCCGCCGCCGCAGAGATACGGGCAAGGTGAAGGGCGAGGGAAAAGGCGCGGACAAGTACGAGGACGATGACGAAGGGAGAACAGGCCGGGAAAGGAAAAAGTAAAAGCTAGGTGCGCTCGCGTCAGATCTGACAGGACGGAACACGCCCCGACAGAAAAACACATGCGTATGAGAGGGAGAAAGAAACAACACAAAGCAAACAAACCAAAACCATTCGAAACCCTGTGCGTGAAGATGAAAACCACTCACTGTATGTGTATGCGTAGCACCCCGCAGATGCGGACAAGAGTGAGGGGGCGGTGGGGAGGGAGGTCGGCAGTCTGCGAAATTCTGCAGAAGCCCGCCGCAGGCGCCAAAGTTTCACAAATTATCTAACGAGCCCGCCACTGGCGCCGATTTTTCCTTTGAACCAGTGTGGGTGGGTCGCGGGTGGGTCGCGGGATGGGTCGCGGGTCGGTCGCAAGCGGGTCGCGGATGGGGGGCGGGTGGGTCGTGGATGGGTCGCTGGGTGAGTCGCGGGTGGGTCGCGGGGTAGGTCGCGGGGTGGGTCGCGGGGTGGGTCGCGGGTGGGTCGCTGGGGGGACGACGACAATTGACAGACAACAACGCAACAAGCAGAATCCTCACCACGGATCCCCACTGCAGCCACGCGCCGATGGACAATGGATGACCGGTCGGCCCCCCAATCTGAGATATCTATATGCATATATATATATATATATATATATGGATGTGTACCGGGGGGAGTGGTGAACGCGGGGCGCTTGCGGGGGAGAGAGGGGAGCAGCACCCGTGCATAATAATTGCAGCAAGGGGGGGAACGAGAGCAGGGAGAAGGCGCGGGCGCTGGAGCAGGAACAAAGAGGACCTCTCCTTCCCCTTCTCCTCTTGCCGCTGCCGATCCCTCCCTCCTCCTCCTCGCCCTCCTCCTCCACCGCCTCCTCATCCTCATCCTCCTCCTCACGCCTGCTCCTCCTCTGTCTCCTCCTCCTCCTCCTCCTCCTCCTCCTCCTCCTCCTTCTCCTCCCCCTCCGCCTCCTAATAATACTGCTACCCCTGCTCTTGCTCGTTCTCTGAGGGAACACAGAGATACCGCTGCCACTGCTCCCTAGACCTCTCTTGGGGCACGTGCTGGCCGCACCACACGCAGTAATGACAGGAAGGGTGGGGGGGCAAGTTGGGGGGGGGTCGCTGGCCTCCGCGAGCTGCATCTCTTCGCGAATGGTGTTGAAGTTGGCGAGAGAGAGGCCGTCGGTCGAGAGGGCCGACACTCCAGCCTCGCGGGGAAGTGGAGGAGGGCCAGCGTGGCCCAGGAGGCGTAAACGATGCTGCAGCACACCCTGCCGTCCCGAGCTCCCTGCGCTCGAGCCCCAGCAAGAGTGCCTCTTCACTGTGGGGAGCGCCCCCCCTTGAACGACGAGCGCCCCGTGCGGCTGCCGTTCAAGCCTGGGAGCCCCTTGTCTGAAGAGGAATCGCCATTCATCCCTCTGGCTATGGGTGCCGTAAACAACAAACAAGCCTACAACATAGAAGGACATGTCCAGCGAGAAACCAGCCCTGAACGCGAACAACCCTCCGCCCGTGTAGCTGTATCACATGTTCTGCAAGTGTATCAAGTAATGGTGCAAACTTGTTACGCGACAATCCCACTCTGAACGAAGACGACGTCATCCATCCGTGAAGCTGCTGTGCAACATGAAACAGGTGGGGATGTGAGATCAGGGGAAAACTAAAACGAGACGTCCATGCTTAACATCACCCTCCTTCTATCCGTGGGCGGATGCTTAACATGCGCGGCGCGAGCAAAGCACGAAATGGTGCAACAAGCCATGGGTGCTACTGTTGGGGAAGTTGAAGAAGACGAGTGTGCACTGCGCTGAGGCGAGAGCCCCATGTTTAAAACGGCCTACACGACATCCGCTTGACTGCTGGAAGCGTCTGAACACACGTGCTGGGGGGGAAGGCGATGAACACTTTCCAAAACGGACCACCCTCCATCCGCTCAGATGCTGAACGTGAGGGAACGTCGAGCAGGACCAGAGAGGGTGTGGAGGCCCGCCCCCACCCGGCCCGCCGTACCGACACGCATGGTTGTGCGACGAGAAGGAGTCACTTCAAAGGAAGAAGGTAAAAGAGAAAGGTAAGGCAGGAGGGAGAGGAACGAGAAGGACGGATGGAGAGAAAGTGGAGCGAGCAGGACGAGGAGGGAGGAGGAAGAGGAAGAATGGATGAGGGAGGAGGGATCAAGGACGGAACGGGGAGTGAGAATGAAGAAGGAAGGAGCGAGGAAGGAAGAAGGGGGAGGGAGGGAAAGGAGGAGGAGAACGACGACGACGGCGACAGCGACTACGATGACGACGACGAAGACGATAACACGAAGGGGAAGTTGGACCCTCGAGGGAAGCGAGAGGCAATGAGATGGGAAGAAAGAGAACCTTCAATGGAACGAAATGACCCTTCCGTCCCATATCACCCCTCCCCCTCGACTCCCGGTCCTCCTTCTCGTCCTCCTCAGTGCCCTCATCCTCATCCTCGTCATTCTCCTCCCTCTGCTCCTCCTCCTCCTCCTCCTCCTCTTCCTCCTCATTCTCCGTTTCCGTCTCCTCTCGTCCTCCCTAGCCCTCCTGCTCCATCCTTCTCCCAGTCACCTTGTCCCCATCCGCATCCTCGTCATCAGCATCATCATCATCGTCATCATCATCAGCAGCAGCATCGTCAGCATCATCATTATCATCATCATCATCATCCTCATCATCATCATCATCATCATCATCATCATCATCATCATGATCGTCGTCATCAGCATCATCAGCGCCGTCGCCATCCTCACCATCATCCCCTCCTCATCAACATCATCAACACCACCTTTACCAGGACCACCATGACCGTAATCGTCACCATAAACGTCATCGGCACCGTCAGCATCATCATCAGCACCAACATCATCAACATCTTCACCAGCGCCGTCAGCAATGTCATCGTCATCGTCATCATCAGCATCACCTTCACCATCATCATCGTTATTATGAACCTCATCACCATCAGCATGAGCATCATCATCGTAATCATCATCGTCAGCATCATCAGCAGCCGTATCATCATCACCGACCTCAACATTGTCATCAGCATCGTCATCATCACCATCATCATCGTAATCGGTACCACCATGATCATCATAATGATTACCTTCAGCATCGCCATCACAATCACCATCATCAGCATCATCATCATAAGCAGCATCACCTTCACCACCACCATCATCATCAGCTGTATCGTCATCATTCGCATTAGCATTATCAACATCATCAACATCGTAATCGCCATCACCATCACCAGCTGCACAATCACCATCACCATCATCATCATCATCATCACCACCACCATCAACATCACTAGCATCATCATCACCAACACCATCAGCATAATCATCTTCATCGACATCATCATCATGGCCGTGGTCGTAACCGTCACCATCACCACCATCATGATCATCATTATTATCACCATCAGCATCATCATCACCACCATCACCATCACCATCACCACCATCACCATCTTGACTAGCACCATTACCGTCACCACACTCATCAGCATCGTCATCGTCACAATCATCGCCAGCATCACATCATCAACATCATGGTCAACCACCATCACCCTCATCAGCTGCATAATCGTCGTCATCACAATCACATCACCATTCTCATCATCATCATCATCGTCACCATGATCGTAATCGTCATCAGCACCGTGACCAGCATCATCATCAGCATCTCCATCACCATCATCATCAGCATCTTCATCACCATCACCATCAGCATCATCGCCAGCACCATCACCATATCCATCAGCATCACCATGATTGTCACCATTATCATCGTAAGTGTCATCATCATAAGCAGAATCGCCATCAATATCGTGAAGATCGTCGTGAAAATCCGCATCATCATCGGCATCAACAGCATCAACATCGCCATCATCATCGGCGTCGTCATTGTCATCATCGTCAGCTTCGTCAGCAACGGCCGCATCATCAGCACCGTGCTTGTCATCATCATTTCCTACACCATCACCATCATAACCTTCATCGTCAACATTATCATTAGCATCAGAATTACCAGTATCATCAACATCATCAGCATCAGCATAATCATCATCATCAGCGTAGTCGCCATCATCACCACACCCTTCTTACTCATCACCACCATCACCAACATCATCACCATCACCATGTATACTACAATCACCATCGCCGTCATCAACAAGGATATCATCCTCGCCACCATCGCAAACTGTAACATCATCATCGGCAGAAGCATCATCAGCACCAGCACCATCACCATCACCATCATCATCATCATCATCATCATCATCACTTTTCATCACAATACCCATCATCAACATCATCATCGTCATCATCTTCGTCATCGGCACCATCAACAACATCATCCTGACACTGACCCTCGTCATATTCATCGTCATGATCAGCATCATCACCAGCACAAGCATCATCAGCATCACCATCACAAACATCATCATGATAATGACCGCCATCATCATCCGCATAATCAGCATCCCTGTCCGCATCACCGTCACGATGATCATCATCATAATCGTCACCATGGTCATCATCGTCGCGATCGTCATCAACATCATCATCATCATCCTCAGCAACATCAGCATCCCCATCATATTCGTAATCGTCACCAACATCAGACCCATCATAGCCAAGAACCAGTAGCATGACCAACATCACCAGCAACATCAACAACATGACCATCACCATCAGCATCATCATCAGCATCACCATCACCACCAACAGCATCGTAATCGGCATCATCAGCAGCATGCGCGTTATCATCATCACCATCAGCAGCATCAACAACTCAGCACCATGAACAGCACACGAATCATCATCACCAACACCACCACACCTATCAGTACCATTATCATCATCATGAAGATCATTATCTGCCTGATTGTCATCATCACCCCCATGACCATCACCCTCGCTAGCATCATCATCAGAATTGTACTCATCATCATCGCTATCTTCAGCATCACGATCATCGTAATCGCCAGTATCACAATACTCACAACCAGCATCATCGCCATCGCCGTCACCGCCATCATCATCAGCAACAGCATCAGCATCAGCATCAGCATCAGCATCATCATCATCATCATTACCATCATCATCACCATTGTCGCCATCAGCATCAACATCACCATCGTCATCCTCAGCATCATCATCAGCATCAGCATCATTGTCATCATCGTCGTCGCCATCATCATCGTCAGCGCCTTCGTCGTCCTCACCATCATCATCAACAACACCATCTTCAAGGCACCACCATGATCGTAATTGCCAACATAAGCGTCATCGGCATCGTCAGCACCATCATCATCATCACCATCATCAATTGCATCGTCATCGTGATCATCAGCATCACCGTCATCACCATTCTCATTATCATGAACCACATCGCCGTCAGCATCAACATCGTCATCATCATCGTCGTCATCGTCAGCATCATCAGCAGCCGTATCATCATCAACGACCAAATCATCGTCATCAGCATCGTCATCATCATCATCATCATCAACACCATCATCCTCGCCACCATCACCACCATTACCATAATCACCATCGTGATCATCATCAACATCACCATCACCAGCATCGTCATTCTCATAATCGTCATCATCACCAACAGCAGCAGCATCACCATCGTCGCAATCGCCAGCATCATCATAACAAATAATCTGCATCACAATCACTATCGCCAACATCATTATCAGCATCATCATCACAATCACAGTCACCATCACCAGCACCATCATCATCGTCATCATCACCATCGTCAACACCATCGTAATCGACATCATCATCATAATAATCATCACCATCATCACAATTACCACCTTCCGACTCTGCTCACGTTCCTCTTCATTCGCCTCCTCTCCGACCTGTCATTCCTCCTCCACCTCGTTAGTCCTCTTCCTCCTGACTCATCCCCGAAGTCGGTGAGGAAGGTGGAGGCGCGCGCGGGGGGGGGACCTGCTGCGGGCCGCGGGCCAGCAGGAGGGAAAACCCAGAGGCGCCCCGAAACGCCAGGCGAGAAGAAGAGCAGACCGCGGACCGCACAGAGATTGGAGCACACGAAGCCGCTGCCACCCTGACCTCCTCACTGGTTACAGACAGGGCTACCTCCGATTTGGTAAGACACTGAAAGTCATACGAGTAAGCACCTAACCTGTAGCCCAACAGGGGGGATAGAGGAGAAGGGAGCGGAACTCGTTCATCCACGGACCCCCGCTTGCATGGAGCCCCGCTTGCATGGGGCTGTGCCCGTCGAAACTTCTTCCCTCCAATGGCCCGAAAGCAAATTATACGACGGAAGTGCCATGAACTCGCCAACACCCCAGGGAACCCTCAACTCCTCGACCTGAATGCCCAAAACAGCAATTCAACACATCCCAAATATCACGGAGAAAAATGGGACCTGACCCCAACGGGATTACAACAATCCGCGTCTGGTTCGTCCTCGTCCTACTCCCTTTCCTCCCCACCATAATCATCAACATCATCATAATCCTCCTCCTCACCATCACCACCAACAAATCAGTATCCTAATCACCACCACCAGCATCATTATCATCAGCAGCAGCATCGTCACAAAACTCAGCACCATCGGCATAATCAGCACCATGATCATCATCATCATCATCATCATCATCATCATCATCATCATCATCATCACCACCACAATCAGCATCATCACCGTCATCATCATCAGTACCATCATCATCATTGTCAGCATCATCATCATCATCATCATCATCATCATCATCATCATCATCATCATCATCATCATCATCATCATCATCATCATCATCATCATCATCATCATCATCCGCATGGCCTTCCCTCCATTCCTCCTCTTCTCGTCTTCCTCCTCCTCTTCCTCCTCCTCCTCCTCCTCCTCCTCCTACTGATCCTCCGCCTCCATCTCCTCATCCTCCATCCTCGTCTGAAGGTCGGCGGAATGGAATAAGCCCGTGGAATATTACGACAGCATCTGACCTGGAGCCTCCAGCATATCCGACGTCAATGGCCACGCGCCGTCGGCCGCCGTCAGCCAATGCGGCGCGGAAGACAGCCGCGGGTGGGCGGCGGCAAAAGCGGCAGAGGCGGCGGACGGAGCGGGAAAGGGCGGGAGAGAGGCGGGGAACGGGAGACGGAGGGGGGGGGGGGGGGGGCGGACCGCGTGACCCACACGCAGGGCGCCTGGGCGTCCACGTGGCGTCCAGCTCGCAGTCCAGCCAACAGGCCTGGACCACTGCGAGGCGCCAGTGCCGTTACTCCACGTGGGAACAGCCACGCCCCCACGAATGTTTCAGCGCGACATTGCGGAACACGGCTGTCGTCTGGGTGTGGCGCCGGCCGTAGGACGTGAATGCCAGCGGTTGGTACGTGATATTTGCCTGGCGTCCGCGCGCGCGGAGTTGTACTCGAATTTGCGTCGGCACATGGTGGCCGCGCAGTCTGCGCTAGCGGCCACGGCGTCGGGCGAGGCCACGACGACGTCCGGGGCCAAGAAACCGTTGCCAAGGGCGCCGGCGATCACGTCTGCGGGTCGCAGCCGCGCGCCAGGCACCAGGCCTGGGGCCTCGAGCTCGGTGCTGGTCGCACACGTTGGTCGCGTCGGGCGCCCGTCGCGCCACTGCGTGGTGTCCCCGAGCGGAGGGCAGCGCCGCAGAGACCACAGGGAAGGGTCGAGACCTGCGGAGCCAGCGCGGAGGCGGAGCTCCTCGACAAAGTCGGCGGGATCCATAATCTGGCCCTTGTGCCAAATCCAGGACAGGTCGCAGCAGGCGTGCTCGAGGCCGTTTAGCCGCCGCAGCGCCGGGACGTCCTCCGTATTCTGCCGCTGCAGTCGTAGGTCGTGCCTGTCCTGCTCGTCGGAGCAGCGCAGGAGCGCCCGTTGCAGGTGCAGCTGCCTCGTGCGCGGGGACGAGTTGGGGTGTCTGTCGCCCACGTTCTCCTCAAAAGAGAACAGGTTGCGGCCAATGTCCCGGGGGCGCTCGCGGCGCTCCCGAGGCGCGGCCGCGGGCGCCCCCGCGCGCGGGCCTACGGGCGCAGCCCAACGCTGCATTGCTTCCGCGGCGGCCTTTGGAAGCGCGGCCACTCTGAGGCCGCCATCCATGGGCGGTCAACCCGCCGTGCGGCGCTCACGTCGCGGTCTGCATGCCGAGCCCCCCTCTGCTCGTGCGGAGCGCGCATTGTTCCCATGCCGCGTCGGGGAGGTCGCCGCCTCCGACGAGCTGCACCGCTTCGCGGAGGTCGTTGTCGAACTGCCGCAGGTGTTCGCTCTTCGCTTTGTCCCCGTTGAGCCGGAGCTGGTAGGAAAGCTCGGGCACTTTACGGCGCAGAGCCGCAGTAGTCCACCTCGGTGGCGGCGTGTACCACTTCTGGCAGGGCAAGGCGAACGTCGCGTGCCTTTCCACGCACGGCCTTGACCTGGTCATCGAGCGCGCCAGGGCTGCCGAAGGGAGCTCCGAGTGTGAGCGCATGCCCCTCTGGAGAGGGCACTGCGCACGCGGTCTTGACGAAGTCGGCATCCCAGCCGTCGTAACGGTGTCGCTCGCTCTCCGGGCAGAGCAGGGGGCGGGAGCCCTTGACGGTGCCAGCAGCCACCGTCCCGCGCGTGCCACCGAAGAACGCGAGGCTGGAGTCTGCGCAAGAGAGGGGTCCGTACGGGCGGGCGCACAAACACCTGGCCGTCGTCTGTGAACCACTGCTCGCAGGCGCCCGAGGCGGCGGCGCCCGAGGGGGGGGGGCCCGAGGGGAGGGTGACGACGGAGGATGAACATAGGGAGGCGGCGGAGGAAGAGACGGGAGGACGGGGAAGAGGAACGCACTGGAAGAGCATGAGGAGCGCAAAAGAGAGAGGATACGCCCATCCACCTGAAGGTCGCCGTCGTCGAAGGTGTCCGGCACAGCCGCCGGACCGCCTAGCTGCGAGCAGGGGGGGGGTTCTCGCCGTCCTCGTCGTCGTCGACGTCGTCGCAGTTGTCGTCGCCGTCGTCGTCATCGTTTCCATCTCTCCCTCCCCCCCTCCTCCTCCAGCCCCTCCCTCCCTCCCTCTCCCTTCCTTTATCTGGCCCTCCCGACCGCTTTTCTCCCCCTCCTCCTTCCTCCGCCTCCTCCTCCTCCTCTTCCTCCTCCTCCTCCGTCTCCCCTCCTCCTGCTCCTCCCCTCTTCCTTCCTCCCTCCTGCCCTCGCTCCCTCCATCCCTGTTCTTCCCTCCCTCGCTGGTACTGTCCTCCGCCTTCTCCTACTGCGCCTCGTCTGCCTTCTCACACGCGCGCGGTACCACGAATGCAGATCGATTTCCCTAATTCCGCACATGTTTGGAACACCTTTCTCATCTCCCGAACGCAGCTGGAGCTCGGAGTAAGTAGTGCGTATGGGACAGACCTGAATGAAGGAATTCTCAGCTTCGAAATGAATTCGCCCACTGATCCCACCAGCCCTCTGGGCTAAAGTCCCCAGGGGGCTCATCTTTGCTACTTATGGACAAACATCCCCTCGGCCCCCATCCGACTGGCCAAAAACCAAGGATAATGCCGACCCACCACACCATCCAAGTAACAAAACACGGCAACATGCACTCTGCGGCCAACATCTGGATCATGTTCGGGCGCACCGCGATCAGTTTACAGTCTTACCTCGTCAGGAGCGACAGGGAGCCATCAGATGGCCCCGCGTGTGCAGGCTCACCATCTCTGTCAAAAACTCAAACAAAGTGCACAACAACAACAACAACAATCATTTAAGACTGGGGACACTCCGTTCTCACCAGTGCCAGGGTTTTCATAGGAGGCGGGCAATGTCCCCCTTTTGTGGGGGGGCCGGTTCAAGCTCTACCAAATTTCCATACGATTCTTCGCCACCACCCACACCCAGCTTCCCGCCCTATGACGTTCGGACACTTCACTTCGTGGCATGCGGACGACTGTGGCTACTATTCAGGGCCCCGCGGCCGACGACGACGGCGTGCGCGCGCGAAGAAAAAACGAATGTGTCCCATATGGTATTATATGACAGGGATGATGGCCCTGGCATGCGCGCAACCGTTGTTGCAGAAGTTCGAAGCACGTGAAAAAGTTGCTCGCAAGAGCCCGTTTGACAGAAATGTTGAAAAAATATTGGGTTTCCTCAGAAATCCGCAAGAGCGCGCAAGATGATTTTTGAAACTTTTTTTTTGAAAAACCATTGGGTTTTTCATGTTTTTATGTTAAAATCGCTACGAAAACTAAGGTTTTGGAAGGATTTCATCTTGCGCGCGCGAGTGTGCACTTCGTGTCATTTTTTGCAAAGGATTCTTGAAGTTTGGTTATGTTAGAACAAGACATGTCATTTTATAGTGTTTTTTGACAGGGAAAGCGGGCGTCAACAAAACAACCGGATCTGGATGACATCGTTTTACCTGAGACTTCCTCACGAAAATTATGAAAATGTGGCTGCGGCCTAGGCGGGGGGGGGGGCGTGCACCAGGGGGCCCAACAATAATTATTCTTTAGAATTAATAATGTTCAACAACAACAACAACAACAACAACAACAACAACAACAACAACAACAACAACAACAACAACAACAACAACAACAACAAAGAGCCGCGCCCAGACGGCGCATCGGCAGGAAATGTGCACATGCATACGTGGAAAATGTCACTGGGCCTCGGCCGGCAACCACTTGCAAGCTGGCGCGCGAGGGTAAGCCTCTGCACGCTGCGGCCAAATCCACCGACTCTGTGTGAGGTGCTTTTTCGTTCGAGTCGGGCTTTTTCGTTGGAGTCGTCGTCTCCGTACTCGTCTGTTCCATTTGCCTGGGCCCTCTTCCTCATACGCGCCGTCCGAAGCAAAATTGAACAACGTCTGAAAGGAATCGAAAGAAAGCCCCTTCCCTTTGATCCCTTCCCCGCGCCGGGGGGGAGGGTGTCCTGGGAGGGTCCTGGGAGGGTCGCCACCCACATACGTTTCCCCCCGCGCCCCAGCCCACGCTCCGGCCCCTGCCCTCGAGGCTCCAGCCCTGGCCCCGAACCCGGCCCAACCCAGGGGGGCAAGGCCAGGGTCCCGGCCCCAGCCCTGGCTTTGGCCCCCGGCCCCGGCCTCGGCCCCGGCCCCAGCCCTGGCCCTGGCCCCGTCCGCGGCCCCAGCCCAAGCCCCCACATAGCCCAGTGAAGCTCCCAAGTGAGCCCCAAGAAAGGCTCCAGAGCGTCAGCGTCGTCGTCGCCGCCGCTGCCGCCGTCGCCGCCGTCGTCGTCGCCGTCCCTCTTCAGGCTCGGCGGCACTGGCCGATAGGCCTTCCCAATGTTCAACCATGCGCGGGGGCTCGCGATCATTTTGCAGTGGTATTTGACACGGATGATGGCGGACCTCACGTTTGTCGCGCACCTGGCTGGCGTCTGCATTGGTTCCCGATGGGTGCCGATGGCGGGCACTGCCTATGCTAAGACTCGAGTGCTACGTTTTGTCTTGGGAGGGCGGGTGGGAGTGAGCGAGACGACATTCCTTCGGGGGGGGTAGCATGATCACTGTTCCCTATGAATAACGCCCCCTCCCCCAGGCGACCGGCAGCCAACGTGGACCCATACCGACACCCCCACACACACACAATCATTTCATCAAACAACAAATGTAAAATGGAGCATGTGCTGGCGCCCCGCGACCGATTGCACTTATGTTTGACAGGGACGGCGGGGGTTGCCCTCATATTGCCTGCTGCGCTCAAGCCAGCGACCCCGGCCCCCAAACAATAAAATGCACTTTGTCTCCGAATCTGGAGCATTCGCGGGCACTCCGCAATCATTTTCCATTGGCATTTGGCTGGGACGGCCGGCGTGCCCTCATATTGCTTGCTGCGCGCAGGACAGCAAACCCTGCCAAAAAACGTGCAAAATACACGTTGCCTCCGAAGCTGGAGTATTAGCGGACGCCCCGCGACAACTTCGCACTGGTCTTTGACAGGGACGGCGGAGGTGGCCTCATATTGCTGGCTGTGCGCAGGCCCACACGTTGTATCAATTTACAATACGAAATTCACTTTGCTTCCAAAGCTGGAGGGAGCATGCGCGGGCGCCCCGAGACCACTTCACATTGTTTTTTCCAAAGAAAGGATACTGGGGTGCTACGTATTGGTTGGGAGGGCGGGTGGGAGTGAGCGAGATGGCCTGTGCCTTATGAGCAGGAGGTGTCTTGATCACTGTTTCCGCTGTTCCCTATTAGTATACGCCTCCTCCCCTAGGCGACAGGCAGCCAACCAGGAACAATGCCGATCCTATGAACCCCACCCCCAATACAAAACACAATCTCCCTCCAAATTCGCAGCCTGCGCAACCCACCAGATGCGGGTCTCCCCCCCTATCCCTGTCAAAAGACAATACGAAATACATGCTCGGGCAAAGTCTTGAGTCATGGTCGTGAGTCCCGCGGGCACTTTGTATTGCTTTTTGATAAGGACGGTCAGTGTGTCAGCAGATTGCCTATGTGCGCAGGACCACCATCCCTTTCAAACAAACAAGACATCATGCACATCGCGGCTCTGTATCATGCGCGGCCAACCCACGATCACTGCCAAGTGGTTTTTTACAGGGACGACGGGGGTGGTGGCGCATGACCTGCTGTGTGCAGGCCCACCAAACACCATGATGGGCATTGGCCTTCGACAAGGATGGTGGGGGCCGACATGCTTCCCGATGTGTGCTGTCAGGTGCGCAGGCGCACCTGACATACTCTGCACGTGCCCCGAACGTGGTGCACCTGGCGCGGCTGGAGTATGCGGCACGCTTGGCGCACGTGAAGCACGTAGCGCATCTGGCGCACCACGTGTGCCTGGCACGCTCGGGCCACAGGGGTGCCTGGCGTGCGTGGCGCGCCTGGCACGCGTGGAGCACTTCGCCCCAGCGTCGCGCACATGGGGTCGGTGTTGGTTCCTCTTAGCTGCCCATCCAAAGGCGACTGAGGTGCGGGTGTTACTTGATGTGTTGGGACGGCGGGTGGGACTGAGCTAGACGGCTTGCTATCTAGGAGGATGTCTTGACCCCTCCCCCTACCCCCTACCCCTGTGCCTGGGCGGGGGGGGGGGCGCCGCGAGCGAGAGCGTCCAAGATGGTCCCAGCGAGAAGCAACATCAATGAGTGTCCATAGCTTTTGGGCCAAGTTTGGTCTTCTCGGGGCGCGAGGCACTTGTACGCCGCCCCATGGTTTTACCCCCGAAGGCGGCCCAAGGGGCCCCCAAGAGAGCCCAAGAGGGCCCCAAGAGGCCCCCAAAAGGCCCGAAGAGACACCAAAGGGGCACCCACGATGCCCTCGAGAGGCCCCCCAAAGGTCCCAAGAGGCCCCCATGAGACATCCAAGACGCCCCACGATGTCCCCAAGACCTACCAGAGCCACCAAGAGGCCCCCAAGACGCCTCAAGAGACCTCCAAGAGACCCCGAAGAGACACCTCAAAAGGCCAAACATAGACCCATGCATGGGGCCTCTGGCCCACACAGGCCCCCGAGATCTCTAAGCGATGCCACGCACCCCCGTTCAAGACAGCTCCGATGGGCGTTGTGTTTGGATGGGCTACGAAACCCAAACGTCCATCTGAAGAGCACGGTAGCTCAGCCCCTCCTCTCCCCCCCGCGCCCCGCATCCCTTTGCGAACACCCCGCAGGACCCTAACAACAAAGGGTTTCCATTTCGCAACGCTTCGCGCTGACCTCTTGGCGAGCAAAGCCCAAATATTGAGACCTGGAGTGCGAGAGGCTCTGTACTGAAATTGTGGCCGACGGGCGCTTCTGCAGCAAACAGCGCAGCCCCTGCAACGCTTTGCGCGCAAAGGGGGTCCAGAGCCCGTGCGGACCTCCGAAAACGTGTTTGATTACGTCGTGGTTCGTGTCATTCGACCTGCGATCTCGAAACCAGAATCACCCGATGGAGCGTTCCAATCATGGCCGCGGGAA